TGTCATTATACTACCTCCCTTTCTGCCCCAGATGGGAACACCGATTGACTAGGAGCCTTGTATTTGTACTTAATTGGTTCCTCTTCACACTGATACTGAATATGTGGTGGAAGGACCATGTTGATTTTTCAGTAGAACCTGTAGCTGAGGCCCCTTCCACCCTGCCCCTATATCCCAGGATCTGATCCCAGATTATCTGCCTACCCCAGATTATCTGGCAGTGGAGACTGGATTTTGATTTAAACTGGATTATCTGATATAATATCCCTGGGGAGGGTGTTCCACAACCAAAGGGCATTGAGAAGGCCCTGTCTTTCATCCCCGCCAGTCACGCCTGAGATCAGGGCCTCCCTGGATGATCTTAAACTCTTAAATGGTTCATAGGGAGAGATACATTCGGGTAAGTAAGCTGGGCTGGAACTGTTTAGAGCTTTATAGGCTAAGGCCAGCACTTTGAATTGTGCCAGTAGCAAACTGGCAGCCAGTGAAGTTGGCGTAACAGGGGTTGTATGCTCATAAAGATACAAGTCTTTATTAGTAGTTTAAATTGTCACCTTTTTGCACAGTGCTAACAAGAGTAAACCAAAATCCCACTGCTGTTATCTCTGAGAGATCCTCCGCCAATGTCACTCCCCACTATAGGCATCCCCTTCTTATTTGGTGGGTTAGGAACCTAAGCACTGTCAAAAAGTGGAAATGGTTGAAATGAGGAACCTAGTCTTAAAGCTAAATTTAGTCTTAAGGATCTCAGAGTTAATTAGAAAGTCATTGTAACCACAAATACTATGTGATAAGAGATTAACCATTCATGATTTTTATACAGACAAGATCGTGCTGAATTGATGGACAGAAAAAAAGCAGCATCTTGTCATAAAAATGTTGGGCAAACATTAGGAAATAATGGAAGGCACATTGTATATATGGATGCTGGGTATACTTCAAAATGGTTGAAAGAGTGGGTTGTCATGGGTGGGGAGCCTTTACTGCTAGGACATATTTAGTCCCACTCTTTTCCAAAAATGTGGCTCATTTGAGAGACCATGTCAGTAGCAGTATGGATTCACCATCTATGGATTGAACCATCCAGGTCTTGAAACTGTTCCAAAAAGCAAGCATTGATTTTGCTATTTTATATATGAAATGCCATTTTACTATGCTACTGTACGTAACAGAAGTTGAGCACCAATGGATTTTGGTATCCATGAAGGGTCCAGTAACCAAAACCCAATGGATACCAAGGGCCCACTGTACTACCATCACTACAGTCTGATAAGCTTATTGGATTCCACAATCTCACTATCATGGAAAGTAGTGACAAAGCAGTGGATTGTTTGGTCCATCAAAGTACAAAAGGGAATTGCTGTTTTAATAAAAAAAGGAATGAGAGAAGAAATGGCAAATTTTGAGAAGTTTATCTAGCAATCTGGAAAACAAACATGTGGACAATTTCAACAGAAAGGAAGAAACCATGAAAATGAACAAAATCTGGCTACCAGTATTAAAAAAAAATTCTAAAATTGCAACAGCAAAAACAGCAGAGAGAAAAACAGGCAGGGACATCTAATCACCTTTCAAGTAGAGTTTGCTCCAGGCACAGTCAGCCCATTGTATGCTAATCAGTTGAAAGATCCACACCGAGCCCAACTTACAAAAGCCCTTTGTCTCACCCTGGTCATTCCACAGATATATAAACCCCTTTTTTCCCAGTTCCAGCAGACCTCACCTCTGAGGATGCTTGCCATAGATGCAGTTGAAACATCAGGAGAAATGCCTCTAGAACATGGCCATATAGCCCGAAAAAACCCACAAGAACTGAGTGAGAATCTGGAAAACATTGAGACGTTTATATGGCAATCTGGAAAAGGGCCAAATGAAGTACACAGACATGATGTCAAGTTCTTAAAAGAAGGAAGAGTAAAATAAGTTATAGATTAAAATTTAAAAAATGTTGGAGAAAGAAGCAATTTCATTTTTTCTTCATTTTTGGTATTTCGGCCTCATAAGAGATAAGCTGGTTAGTATAAGTAAAATCAAACAGTTCAAAGGAATACTGGATGGGAAAGTGGTTAGTAGAAAGCGACTGTTTTCCATGACAGTGTAGAAGAGCTAAGCATGGAGAGGAATCTTTAGCTTTTAAGAATTGATCTTAAATGGCAAGATAAGGCAGACTTCTCTCCTAAATCTCTTGAACAGGTTTTTGAGGTGTGCAGGAGGCTGCAGTAGGAAGTTGTTCTGTGTGATGTTGCTTAAGTGATGGACACTGAGTGGTGCTGTTGCACTGTATAAAGTAGCTCCTTGTTTCTTCAGTCTTGAAGAAATGGCAACAAGTCAATCTGCAAAAGTTGAGTTAAAACCAAGCTTCTTGTCACCTCTTCTTATAGTTTGTTTTCCAGCTAAATAGTATAAGTCGCTGCCTGTTTGTGCAAGAAACAAATTTGGGAACAAACTTCCTGGTGTTTTCTTCTTAGCCAGACGGGTTTGTTTTATTTTATTATTTTCTTGAAACCAGCACCACATAATTGCCAAAGTGGTAAAGTCTGTCTTTAAGAGGATTTGAGTAACCAGCCTTAGACTATGCTAACCTTTTAGGATACCATGTGTCAGGAAACATTTTTGCAAAGCAGTATCTTGATAGTAATAAATGTGAATCGGCAGTTTGGATTGCCAAAAAGAAGTTATTTCCTGGTATAACTGTAAATTATTTGGTGTGTGTATGTGTGTTAATCCATCATTATCTCTGGCCACTTTAAATTTGATGTTTTATTGTTTAAGGCTCCAACCCTTTGTCTAGCCATATACACCCTGTTTACAGAAGGGCAGCAAAGTTTGCATGATCACATTGTCAATGTGTAATGAACTAGAATTAGGTTCATTTTATTCTTAAAGACTGTAGTTTTGTTTTCATTTAGCAGTCATAAACATATCATTGCAGAGAGGATTTCCCTATCCCCTTACTTCGCTCTAAACCCAATGCTTTCATGTAGATTGTGTTGTAATGTTCAACTATAAATCATCAAGCACTGAAAGATTAAGTGATATATGTATGAATCAGCTGTCAGGTTACAGCTAAATCTCTGCATTTCTTACAGAGGTCAAAATAAGCTCCAACATGTCTGATATAAAAGTGTTCTGCAACCAAAGAATGCAATCTATAATTAAGCCTAACAACCAAAGGCATCTCTAGTTAAAGATTCTTAGGGTGTGGAGATAGAAGTGCCTTTGTGGCATTGAAAAGCTTGAATATGTGAATGTCAGGCATTTCCATCCACCCGTGCCTGACACTGAGTTTCTAGAGCCATATCAGTTGAGATTTAGACCTGGTCCTGACACAGATACTGCCTTATTTATCGTGGTGGGCAACCTGTGCCAGGAGAAGGATGTGGGAAAACCATCCTTTTAAGTTTCCTGGAATCTTTTGGTGATTTTCAAAATGATTGACCATGGTGTCCATTTTTTGTTGAAAATTAATGCCCATCAACATTGGGTTCTGGAATGGGCCAACTGGGTAGAACCATAACTCTTTTAAGATGATACTTCAGCTTCCATAACATTTATGAAAATCTCTTATTTTTCAAACCTTTCAAGTTCAGTTACTTAGATTGTCCATCCTGTTTAATTGTACTTTATATCTATGTTGTTTGTTGTTGTGTGCCTTCAAGTTGTTTCTTTTACTTATGGCAATCATAAGCCTAATCCATCACAGAGTTTTCTTGGCAAGATTTCTTCAGATGATATTTGCCATTGCCTTTCTCTGCAGCATTGATAATGTGCCTTGTCCAAGGTCAACTCAGCATATTCTCATTGGCTAGCAGAGATTCAAACCCTGTTTCCCAGAATCATAAAAGCTGGTTGCTACACCATTTGGCTCTCTCTCTCTATGCTGTATACAACTTTAAAAATATTTTAGTGGTATGGTAGAAATGTGTGCAATTACTATAAGGAATGAAAACATTAGCTTTTTGTCAGAATTACATCTTAGTCATGAACTACCATATTTTTCTCTGTTGTATTGCTGGAGTTTCTATGAAAAGCTTACTGAAGGTTGTTTGACTACTTTCATGGACCTGCCAACACTCCATCCAGATAATTTTAAGACCCTAGACTTTTGATATTAGATGTAAGAATGGTGTCCACCTATAGTTAGTGTCCACCTATTATATCCAAGTATTATCTTAAGCCTGATGGTATTTGATGGTTTTCAGTAGGGTAAAGGTTCCCTAATATCTCTCTCTCTCTCGCTCTCTCGCTCTCTCTCTCTCTCTCCCTCCTCCCTCCCTCCCTCCCTCCCTCCCTCCCTCCCTCCCTCCCTCCCTCCCTCCCTCCCAGTCTTTTACTGGAAATTGACAGATGAGTCTTTTTCTAGCTCAAATCAAATTTATAAGTGTTTGTTGAAAAGCCTATTCTGTCCTATTTTCATGTTAATTTATATATTTAGAAGTAAGACTGCATGGTTAATTTTTTTTCAGCACATCCGAGTATCACATCCCAGTTTTCCTCCTCCTTCTTCTCTAGTGATGAATTCTCAGGTTTGTTTCACTGGTCTTGCCACACATGCTCAGCAGTAGCCAGCCAGGGAAAGATGTGAGTTGGGCATGGATCCCATTATTTATTACTTTGGTACAGAAATGTGCATAGTGTTAAAGGTCAGACTCATGTGATCCACTTCTCTCAAAGCTTCATAAAAACTGTTTTCTGTTTTGGCTAGGAATCAGTTTTTGAGCTATGGAAAGTGGATTAGAAGAAGAATAAATTCTATTACATCTAAAGCATAGTAGTCCAAGCTGCAGCAGAAATAGTTTGCCTCTCTGCCCACATTCCTGCCCCCATTTTGCTGGTGAAAATAAGGTCAACAAAAGCATCCTGTTGCCTCTGTATTTTAATGTGTACAGTATTCGGAAATGTATCACTAAGTTTTGGATGTTAGATCAAGGAAAAAAATGTGATGCTTTTATGTGTTTTACACATCTTTCCTTTACTTACTCCCTTCTCCCAATTCTCAGGGTGCATCTAAATCGGAAGAAAGGCCAACATGGAGTATTTTGCGAGATGACTTTATGATGGGAGCTTCAATGAAAGACTGGGATAAAGAAAGTGATGGAGAGAATGGTGCTGGACAAAAGGATGACATTAAACAGGAGAGTGAAAGCGACTCAGACCGATAAAGTCCAAAGCAATTCAGACAATCTGTGTGTATTTTTATTGACTATCAGTAGGTTTTTTATTCAAATAAGGTCCTCTTTTTATACAAAAGGAAATACCTCTAGAAAAATGGGAAAAATGAATCTGACAGAATATTATGATCAGTTGTATTTTCCCTCAAATTAATTATAATTATCTGTTTTTTATAAAACATTTTTAAAAGTCAAGCAGTGGTACCAGCCGGATTGGAAAGAAAGGGTTTTGTTGGAATACTGATTGAACACTGATGGACCATTGTGCTTTCCTTCCCACCTCATTGTTTCTAATTGAGCTAAGTATTTATTAATTCCCAAAATAAAAACATGAAATTTATTTTTGTGGTGTTAACATTATTTATTCCTATGTTAACCAAACCTTGTTTTAGCTTAGAAAGTAGTACTGTGGTAATGTCCTTAAATTTTAAAATGGTACAGGAAATATGAGACTATATAACTCTACTGGGTATGAGTGTTGGTGTGAGAAAGAAGGGATGAAAGGCCTTTGAATCTTAATGTGTAAAGTTTGTATCCTAGAATTTGTAATGAAATGTGTGGTACTAGGGGTGAAATCCAAAAAACTGCACAAGGGAATAATGGATTTTACTATCAGGGGGCTTCTTTTAAATGAGAGTGGTGTTCTGAGTTTGTGTAATAAGATAAAATGGCAGTGCTAATTTTTAACCAAAATTTGGTGTATCTAATTTTTCATATATTCAGTTAAAAGAAGTGGGATAGCCTAGAACTAACTGGGGGCCCTTCTACACAACCCTATATCCCAGAATACCAAGGCAGAAAGTCCCACGATACCTGCTTTGAACTGGGTTATCTGAGTCCACACACAGGGTACACACTTGATATTCAGGGATATAGGCCAGTATGGAAGGGCCCAGGGACTATCACTGCCAAATCAGAACAGGGCATTCTTTCAAGAATGACAAACCCCATCACCTAATATTTTAATATTTTAATAACTAGGTATTTTTAATTACAAAAAATGTGAGCCAAGCACTAAAAGGGGTAAATGAATGCAATGACTCAGCAAAAGCTGCAGTTCTATATAAGCAGGTGTACTTGTAACTTAGTAGCCATCGGTCTGAGGTAAACCTCAGTGGGAGAAAGGTCTCAGTCTGTGAGAAGGCCTCACAGTGTGAGGTAGGCCTTAGTCTATGAGAAAAATGACATTTGTGTGTGTGCGTACTCCTGCACGTGCTATGAAATCAGGCAGTTTTGAACTTGAATAGTTGTTTCAACAGTCTTCAAATTAGAAAAGCCTATTCCTCTATTTTGTTAAAGCATGATGAATCAATCTGTGTTTGCACTATCTCTCACTTTGTGTCTGTGCATGTCTTTGGGTGTATGTACATGTACTGCAATTTGCTGTCCTGTTTTGCTGAGTCAGTGATCCGTAGCCGTTGTGATAGGTTGAGGGTTAAAGGGTGAATGAGATGCAAGGCACTCACCCACTCTCTATCTCCAAACCATGGCAGTTTGTTTTTTTCTTTTATTTTTCACTTCCCTGAGCAGAGGAAGCATTGCACTACTCATACTCACCTTTGTTGCTGCATGCTACTGTATGTATGGCGGTGCTGAAAGCTAAGGAAGGATTTTGTGACTCTTCTCCCTACATCACACTCTAGTGGTCTGTGGAAAAATGTTCAGTGTATTCTGTGATTGGTGGGGCCCTCATCTTTTATGTAGTTTTTCCTTACTGGGTTAGGAACTGTGTTATCTGAGTCCACACTCAGATAATGTGGGATTTTCTGCCTTGATATTCTGGTATATAAGGCTGTGTGGAAGGACCCAGGGACTATCATTGTCAAATCAGAACAGGGCATGACAGACCTCATCCCCTAAGATTGGTAGGGCCTTCATCTTTTATGTAGCTTTTCCTTACTTTATAGTTGAGGTGTTATAAATAGAAGGCTTAGAGATTCTTCCTTGCAGCTGGCACAATCCCATGTTTCCCAGGAATTCCAATAAGGAAAGGTAACTTGTGACCCTGTGACTTAGCCCAACCTGCAGTGACTTCCCACCTGACCTTCCCCCTCTCCTAGCATTTAGATAGCCCCCTTCCTTTGTGTCTGTCTTTCTCTGACTAAATAACCATGTGGACAAGTACAAGTAGCAAAAGGGTTAGTTCTCTGTTGGAACCAGGAATAGAGGCCCTTTCTGAATTTTCTGCTTCCAGTGCTTTTGCTGCCCTTCTTTACATGTCTTTTGGCCCATGCTCAGGATTGAACAAGTGAAATGCTACAGGTAGTGGTAGACAACATGGTGCCCTCTAAATATTGAACTGCACACTTGCTTTTGGATTCTATGGAATGACCCCAATTATACCTCTTAAAATCCTTGTTTGATGTACCCAGTGTAAGTAGAGGTGGGGTTAATCTCCCTCTCTAAAAGGGCACCTAAGGAAAATTACAGTCAGCATCTGGCTGGCATGGTTAATTGTCAGGTATTCCAGCATGTGTCTCCTATACCAGATGCCGACTCTTTTTTTTTTAAAAAAAAGTTTTATATATACACATACACATATTTAACAAAGGGCTTAGGGCAGGTTCCACCAGTTCTTACAAGCAAAAGATTAAACAAAAACATCTGAAATATAAAACATCAGAGTGAAACCTCACACAATGTCAATACCAGAATCCCAGATACCAGCCTCAGCTTGACCACCCTAGGGCAACCTAAATGATGTCTTGTAGCAATTTTCACCATGCTTCTGTTGGGAGTTTTCAAAAGGAGGGGCTGCATTAGTCACACCTCTATGGGCTTAGCACGTGGATGTGATGGGCAAAAGTGAACACTGAGGTGCAGTGTTCAAGAAAATGAGTTGCTGCTATTATTATCATCATTATCATAATTTATTAATAGTACCATCATTGTACATGGTGTCTTACAAACAAAAGAACAACAAAACATTTCCCTGCCCTCCAGCTTACAATCTAATTAAGACAACATAAAAGGAACAGGGATGGCAGTGAAGCGTGGAATCATGTCTAGTTTCTTCTTTCTCTCTGAGGCCACAGTAATCGTATTTGTGATGGAGGGCTGGTCTAGGCATGCTGAGTTGTGCCTGCCTCTTCTTCCCTGCCTCTTCAAGCAGTGGCAGTTGGTTTGAAGGGGTTTTCATCTGCTTCTTAACTTAGATATGGTGGAGCAGTGCCACCCTCTTCTCTCTCCAAGATCAGCAAAATGGCCATTTGCGGTATTTGTATACCACCCTTCTCAACCCCAAAGGGAACTCATTTGTAAAGCAAATCATTAATTTATATTAGTGGTTTGTAGGTAAAGGGAATTCGGTGTTTTCTAGTTGTTCAGATTACAATTTGCATAAGTCCCAGCCAGCTAGCCTGGCCAAGGATGATGAGATCTCTGATCAGGAAAATTTGGAAATAGATGGAGCAGGCATGTTTTCTTTGGCTCCAGACTAGGACGCAAAGCAATATGGATTCAAAAGAGATCCCATCTAAACATTAGGAAGAACTTGTTGATTGTAAGAGTTTGTTCAACAGTGGAATATTCTCGGAGTAGTGTGGAGTCTCCTTTTCTGGAGGACTTTAGATAGAGGCTGGATCGACACCAGGAGCTTTTTGATTGTGCTTTATATATTTATTTAAAGCATTTGTACCCCATCCTTCTGACCTGCGAGGGGGACTCAGGGCAGTTTTACAATAGGCAACCACTTGATGCCATTAGATCAGGAGCTCTTTGATTGTGCTTCTCCTGTATTGCAGGAAATTTAGCTATATGGCCCTTTTGGCGTCTTCCAACTCTGTGATTCTAGGTCTAGCTATTCTAAGTAAAAAGGAGGACATTGTATATCATATTTTTGTTCTTCTGTCCTTTCTGTCAACTCCAACTTAACGGTGACCCTTGGCAAGATTTATTTAGAAAAGGTTTATGATTGTCTTCATCTAAGGCTGAGATAGTGTAATTTGCATGAGGGTACTCAGATTTAAACCCCTGCTCTCCTGGTGTCTTAGTCTAAGGATGATCCCACAGTTTGGCAATTATCAACAATAGCCTGGCCCTTGCTTATTTTCTAGGTGACTTATTGTTTCACTTCGGTTAGATGACTGCAATTAGCATTCTTTCTGTCATCATTGGTTTACTGGAGACAAATATGGAAAATACAATTTTAATAGGATATGTGCATACTAGTATCCCATCGGAAGAGCTCAAAAACTAGCTCCTTGAAAAATTCTGGTCAAAATACTGCTTTTAATTTTTTTACTTAAACACTGGGTTACTCAGGCCTACTAACATTCAGAATTATTTCTTTTCCATATGACCAGTTGGGATAATTTCTTTTTTAAAAAACCAACCTCTCACTGTTAGCAATTTGGTTCTAGAAAAGGGGAACAAATCACTTGTGACACAGAATCCATCTTAGTTAGCTTTTGCATTTTCTAGACACACACATGAACAATGTGTTTGGATTTAAAGGCCAGTATTCAGGTCTTGAGTTTCATTTGGTTTCTAACATGCACACAAAATAAAAATTGGCATGCCAGCAGTATAGTAGCGCTAGAAGTGATCATACATTACAACCTTCCACATGAATAGATTGCCCTTTCACATTGCTGCAAAAAAACAGTAGCTGCAGTTTTTAACTACTACAATGTTTTCTTCCATTACTTTCAGCAATTCTTGAAAAAGAAAAAGTTAAAGTATTAGTGTTCCAAAATATGTACATTTAAGGATTGCTGGATATGTTCTTTCTATTAGGCCTGTGAGATCAATGAAAAAAGTGTTTCAATGCTCATTACTACATGGGGGGGGGTCATTTCTAAAGTGTTTCTAAAATATTGTTAGGGGTCTGTATTGTAACTATAATGATATAATGAAATTTTAGTTACTTTTTTTGTTAAGTAATTTTGCAAGAGGGGTAGCTTCCGGGGCTCCTTTCTCCCTTATTTTTAGAGCTATCAGGATGAAACTTGCTGCAGTGGTAGAACACTGCCCCCCCCCCCCCCAAATTTCAGAATGTTTCACTCATCCACTAATTTTTGTAAATTTTAAAAAGTTTTAATGAACATTTTTTTTAGAAAAACAAGAACCATCTTCTTGCATTTCTGTTTTTGATGGTACAATGTAACCATGGCATCACCCCCCCCCCCTTCTCACGCATCCATTGATTTTTAGGGAATTTTAACCAACATAAACAACAGTACCTTTTCACTGGAAAACCTCATGGGCCATCCAGTCCTACCCCCTTCTGCCAAACTAGAAAAGCACAGTCAGACCACCCCCAACAGATGCCCATCCAGCCTTTGAAATAAGCAGAAGCAGCAGCTTACTGGGAAAACTTTGGAGTTACTGCCTCTCAAG